AGAACACACAAGTGTCGAAAAATCAAACACATCCGCGAAGCAAGAAAAAACACACATATACATAAATTCACAACTAGTTCAGTACATGAATCCAAGAAAAGGAAACAAAAATTACAAAGGCAGCCTAGGAAGAGGCACTTTCACTAGAACTGTCGTTGACATCGTCCTCCTGAACCAGCCTCCCAAAGCGGACCACCTTCTCCACATGCATGGAGGAGAAGTCAAACCCGGGATCAAGAAGTCGTGCCTGACGAGCAGCCTTCTGAAAGCCCCTCTTATGCTCCGCCACGACGGAGCGCTCCACCTCGGTGAGCCTCCCCTCCACAGCCGCCTTCCCCGCCGCCAGCTCCGCGAGCTCTACCCTCAGGGCGGCGATCTCATCCTCCCGGCCGCCCAGAACGACCTCACTGCGGAGACGCTCCTCAGCCGCCGCCGCCAACTCTCCTTTGAGAGAGGTTACAACATCCTCTAGAGCCCGCACCTGGTCACGGGAAGACGTCACCTCATCCTCTAGAGAGCGCGCGCGCCCGGGAGAAGGCGGCGAGCTCCCGCAGCTCCCCCACCTGAGAAGCATAAGTCTCATTAGATTGCAACGCAATCTCAAGAGACTTCTGCACCCGTGAAAGGTCGCCACGCGCAGTCCGGAGCTTGGCCTCCTGCCGCTTCGCCTCATCGAGGGCCGCGCTCAGAGCTTTGTTGTCCTCCCTCAGAATCTTGTTCGCCTCCTTCCACGGTTGAAGGCGACCCCTCATCTTAGCCAGCTCCTCTTGCTGCTTGGCCAGATCTTCTCGCTGTTGGCCCCACTTAGGCTTCCAGTGGCTCACTATGCCCATCACCCTCTGCAGCATGACCTGGGTAGCATCAAAGCTGTCCTCGGGACCGACCCTGTCAATCAATCCCCGGTCCTCGGAGCTCAGTGATCCCTGAGGGAAGAACCCCTTCGCAGTCACCCCCGCGCTCCACAATGAATCCATGTCGGCGGAGGCGCTCACGTGATCTAGCCGCACCTTATCTATACCCTTCCCAAAGTGATGGGATAGGTATCGAGTCTGGGCAGGCCCCTGTGACGAGCCCGCCTGCGGCGCCAAATTCGCGGCAGAGGTCAGCGCCCCCTGCTCAGCACCTAAAGAGTCCACTTTAGGGACCTCCGGCCCCGCCTGCAAAAAACCAGTCCCACGTCAAAAAAAAACAAGGTGACGTACGAGAAACCACGGAAACAAGAAGACCAAACACCACCCACCTCAGCAGCCTGGGCGACCATCCCAGCAGCCTGCGCCTCAGGCCTAGCGGCATTTCTCGCCTGCACCTCAGGCTCAGCGGCATTTCCTGCCTGCAAAAAGCCACCCAGATCGGACAGCCGGACAACATAACAAAAGGCAAAGGGAAAGTCCGAGAAAGACGATACTCACCACCTTGGCAACTCGGACAGCCTGCCCAGCAATCCGGGCCTCCACCTCGGCAACACCAGCCCCGCCCTGCAAGGGGACCCATCCCGCCTTAGCAAGCTAAAACGAAGCTAACACGGAAAACACAAGCAAAAAAAAAATAGAATACTTACCTCGGCGTCCCGCGCAGTAGGCCCAACACTCTGCGCCGCCTCCCCCATAACCACCAGAGAAGCCTCCTTGGCCGGAGGACTCTCGGTGAGATCCACCGTGTCCACAACCCTGGAGGTTACCTCCTCGGCATCGCGAGGGGCGGAGATCCCCCCAACCTCCTTCTACCCCCTCTTCCTCTTTCGGTGTATCTTCAGGGGGTGACATCCTCCTCCGGAGGCTCCGGAACCCCGAGCTCAGTAACATTGTAGCGGTACTTAAGCTGACGCCACAAGTTTCTCCCCATAATGCCTGCACAGAAGAAACAGAAGCACATCAATAAGAGGAAACCACACAAGCCCTAATAACCTACCAAAACGCGCAATACTCACTCTCTAGGCCCCTCTCCCTGTAAGGCGAATTTGCAAGCGACAAAACGAGCTTGCAATCCAACGAACGAGGGAGCGCGACAAGATTTTTAACGATGGCTGCCTCCGCGGCCGTCACCTTCAGATCCCCCAATCCGTGAAACCTAGACGGTTTGGGACACCAATAGAACGGAAACCTCGGCAAACCGCCGAAGTAGAACACCTCATCTTCCAAAGGGTCAACACCCACAAGGGCGACCCGGAAAAACTCCTGCTTGAAATTTTTATACGATGACGGCTTGGGACACCAATAGAATGGAAACCTCGGCAAACCGCCGAAGTAGAACACCTCGTCTTCCAAAGGGTCAACACCCACAAGGGCGACCCGGAAAAACTCCTGCTTGAAATTTTTATACGATTGGGAGTAGGGAGTAAACAAACCCCCATCCCTACTCCCACTCAAAGACAAAATACCGTAAGGCGGAGCGCCTATCTTCAACTGATAAAAATGAAGAAAGACGCGAAGAGACACCTCTATACCCAGAACTGTACACAGGACCTGAAAAGCCCTCAAAAAACCCCAACTATTGGTACACACCCTCATCGGCCTGACAGGGCTCAAGCCGAATCATATGGGAGATGGAAGAATCGCAAACCCTATGCGTCCTCCGAAACGCATTTACTTCCAGGAAAGAGCGAAAAATGCTATGAACCTCAGCCACCTTGCGTTTAACCCAGTCATAACCTGGAACGCCCGGCTCCGGGCCCCTAGGCAATGACGGGTCTTTCTTCTCAACAGTGACCCTTCCGGCGGCCCCCACCTTGCCACGCGCCTTACCCCCGGCAGGCGCAGAAGATCCGACATCACTTCCACCAGCCATTAAAAAGGAAAAAGAGAGAGGAACACCCAGAAAGGATCCGAGAAAAGGAGAGAAGAAACAAATAAAAAGGAAGTACTTGGTACTCCTCCCCAGAAAATAACCCTAACAAGAATTCCCGGAAACGAGGTCGGAAGCACGAAGGAGAAGGGAGACGAAAGGAAGCAAGAAAGCAAGAAACACTCGCGTACTCGAGAATTCAGAAGGAAGGCAAAGAGTAAAGACGATGAGGCGCGAGTAAAAGAAAAGAAAAAGCTTTCCCCCAAAATTCAAAACCGACACGACACGTGTCAACCCAGGAGCACGCCTGACGACACATTTATTGCAAAATCATCATTACATAACCGCCACTTCTCTTAACGCGTCACTCGAACGTCTTCGGGAGACGAACAGTTGTGACACATAGTAGACTTTCAGATAGCGTACGCAAAAAGCCACTCCCCTCCAGCGAGCCCGGTCTTAACTCCTCGACCTACGGCCTTCGGAGCTCGAGGGGCTAGTGTACTATCCGTACTTCGCACCCGGGCTCCGAGCCCGGATTAGCAATACAAGAGGGCAGCCTCGGGCACGTGTTGCGCGACGTCAGCCTGGTATTTGGGCGAATCACACCTGATTCCGAGGATCTCGCCCCAGGCCAGATCCACCCTTCAACTATATCATATTATATCACGTTACATTATATCATGATATATCTTATCTCAAGCCCAAAGCCCAAGGCAAACCTAGATCACCTCAAGGTACGTGCATTATATATATGAGACCATTATTCAGGCAAATCCTAACTTTGGCATCAGAGTCTCTTTTGCAGGTACCTCCCCCATCTTGGAGCACCAATACATCAAGCAAAGGAGGCTCACCGATCTTACTGGACGGGTCACCTCTACGACCAAATTTCGGTAAGAACAGTTCACCTTATAAACATTCATCTTAAAGAAAAACTCTTCCCTCAAAAAAGGTCTATGTTTGTTATCAATAAAACTTGAAATGTTGAGAAGTCTAAAATCTTCTTTTGACTTAACATAAGGTTTTGGATTTAAGTCTTTTATCATAAAAAATATTGTTGGGAGGAGAAACTCCACTAAAGATGGCCAACTAGCTAGGTTCCTTGACAAAGATTAGTCGTTCATAAAATTGGTTAATGCTTCATATTAATAATATGGTTAAAAACTATAATTAACTTACGTAATTAAATAAATGCAACCTTCCAATAAACCACTACTTTCTTTGCATTTTCTCCTTTATACTCTAAAAGATCCTAACTCGACTATGATCAAATAATACTATGGTTGTTTACAGAATTGACCTTGATTTTTTTGTTGTCTTAAATGAACCAAAAAATAATAATACTTTCATAATTTTTTGAATATTATATACGACCTCAATTCTCAAATCCAAAGGCACATGTAAAAAATTAAACACATATTTGCTAAAGAAAAAGATTGAGTGTACAACATATTTTTATGAGACCACTACATAATGAATAAAATATATCAATAATGATAACTTTCCACAAAAAGCTCGCAATGGTTAAATAGTGGAGGTTTGAGATTCCAATGGAGTGGGAGAGGTAAAGATTCAACAGAGGTCATGATTCAAAGAATAAAGAAAGAATTAGAAGAATTAAAGATAAAAAAAATGTTAAAAATAACTCTTATTAATGACTTTATGTTAACACTTGTTCTCGTTAAAAAAAAAGGAGAAAAAAAATAATAATAATATATCATACTTTCTTTCTACATTTAGCATTAATATTAAAAAAAATTAATAATATATTATATTTTTCTCTTTATATTTAACATTAGCGATTTATTTTCTAAAAATTAAGATACATTTTTGTTGAAAAGTTGAAACACCTTCTATTAATTGATTAATTATTTGTAATTAATTTATTTTCTATAATAATTTCTTATATATACTTTAATTATGTAGACTTTTATTTTTATATTATATAATATATTTTTTGGTGCCTCAAAATATAAGACCTTGGATGGTCACTCATCCAGCCCGTGTTCAAGGTTGCTTTTGTTTATTCATTAATACAACATTGGTGTAGAGTTTATTTATTTATTATTATTATTATTATTGTTAGTATCTCTCACTCATTCATTTAATATATTATGTATTTTTTATGAAAAAAAGTACTCTGTATTTCATGACTGGGACAAATTGAGAATTACTGGTTTCAAATTGCTTTCTATGAAAATTCTAGTTAAATTTTATGACACAATAAGATCCTTTAATATCTGACCCCAAACTTATGGTCTTGAAGAAAGTATAACAATGAGTAAAGAAAGAAGCTGGTCTTATATATATAAATTTACATTTCTAGTGTCTAGAATAAATCATAAATGCACCCTTTGAAGACCTTGCTTTCACACACCCTCTAGCTTTTCTCGTTAGCTCTTACTTAACTGGTCCTGCTTTTGTTCATTGCTATCATCAACTTTTGGTCTTGCGTTCATAAGAACCTGTTAGTAATGATAGTTAATATATATATTCCTCAATCTGTAGCATTAAGTCACAAACACAACACTCCATCAAGATTAAAATGTAGTAATTAATATATGAATTCAACAAACATGTTTCGCCAATATTAAAATAATATTTGACCATCAAAAAATATATTTTGTAAATATAAATTATTTTTTAATTGTCAGTTTTTGAAACATATTGTGAATTATATCGATGAATAAAAAGAAAACCCTAAGCTTTAATTGTGTTACCTTCCGCAGCATGGTGTTTTCATTGATCAAAGTTGAGATACGCTCTTCTAAAATAGCGTTTTTATCTTGCAACTCTTTGGCTCTTGATTCCAAGTCATTCACATAAACCTTCTTTCTTTCGCGGGCTTGTTGAGCAGAGACTCTGTTTCGCAACAACCTGTTTGTAATATCAAAAGTCATATACACATGTTAATTTAATGGTTTGCGTGGTTCTAAGATTTTTAAATTAATCTGATTTGATTAAAACTGTACTATCCATATCGCTATGTCGAGCTCGAGCTCGGCATCACAGCGCGGAATGACCTCGGACACGCGCCGCGTGATATTGGCCAAGACAAGGCTCACCATCTAAACAGATTATAACTAATCTCAGGCCCAAGGCCCAGAAAAATCCTAATTCACACCAAGGTACGTGTATTATTTATACGAGACCCATACATCCACAAATACTAACTTTAACATCGGAGTCTCTTTTACAGATATCATCTCCACTTGGAACAGCAACCGTACCCAGCGAACGAAGCTCACCGATCTTGTCTAGCTGATCATCCCTACGAACGATCTCCGGTAAGAACAAAAACTAAAGATTGTTTTCACTAAAATTCGAACTTGAACACTGACCGATTGAATTTACGAGTAAGTTTAGATGTATGATAGAAATATTTTTGGGAATTTAATTATTAAAATATATATTTTTTTTATAGAGAAAATTTTAAAAACTTTTAAATTTATATATATTCAAATTGACACTATGATAATTTTATGTACATAGCATGATAAAATAAAAAATCACATTAGAAAAAATGGATTAAAAAATGGACAAACGCGTTCAGACATTAAATGTGAGTACGATGTTAGGTATCTTGCAAACAAGAAATATTTTGGATAATACTGAATTGATAGTCTATATTTATTAATATGGTCTCTCCCTTGTATCAAATAAAAAATCATTTATTATATGGTCCCGCCAATGATTTTTAAAGATTCTTTTGTCAAAGAACTGAAAATAAAATAATTCATAAAAGGTATAGCTTTTAGTATATTAAAATTTTAAAGTGTTACAACAACAAAATAAAAATAGTTTTTTCCTTACTAGGTGAAACTGGTAACATGACATTACTGAGCTCAATTAAAAACTATATTCTCAAAAATGTTATTTACTATGCATGAAATAATTTTTTAATGATTTCTACCGATATGTTCCCTGGTCTGTTTTGTCCATCCATGACTAAACACGTAGATATATTAATATAAAGGATGTTTCAATTTAATTATTAGTCTTGAGTTGAATTTTTTAAATATATAATTACATATGAAATATATATAAATAAATGTTTTGCAGTTTGGTATATTTCACTCGAATAAAATTATTTTTCATAAAAGATATCTATAATTCTACCAAAATTCTTTTCCTATCTCTATATTTTAGAAGACTAATAAATATGTGAAAATTTAAAAAGTGATACTTTTTATTTAATATTTTATTTTAAATTCTTAACAACTGTGTTAAGATATCCTTTAAACACCCATCATTTTATTTTGACTGATGTAAAAAAGATATTTTGTGTAATTTTTTAATATAAATAAATAAAATAATTGAAGTTAAATATATGTGTGAATATTCTACCCAAAAAAAAAACATTCTACCAAAAAAAATATATGTGTGAATGTAAGTGATTTGAGTATTTATTAAGAAAATGTGAAAAAGTTTGTAAGATAAATTTATAAAAAAAAAGTTGAGAAATAGAACAAAAACTAAAAAAAGAAAAGTATAGGAGAGAAAACATCATTTGAAAGTTAAGGGACAAAATAAACAAGGAAATATGTACGCTAAAAAAGCAGTACACATTTATTAATAGTATAGATATAAATATTATACGATAATTTTTTTTTTTTTTGAGGTGATTATACGATAAATTTTTTTCCACATAATGCCTTCTTTTTTTAAAAGTAAGCTATCAATCTTTTGAATATAGTCATGTGACAAGAGAAAACTCCAATATTTAACTTTTATACAACATAAATTTCAAAATCAAACTCAAAAATCAAGTAAATAAAAAATTTGAATTTTTTTTTTCATTCATACATTAATATAATAATATACAAACTTTTTAGGATATATTAAATATTTGTACGAGAAAATAGACTACATATAATGCAAAATATTATCGTTTAATTTTAAATCTTCATGTATGATATATTTATTGAATTTTATTATAATTATCTTAAAAATCATACCAATAATATTATAAAATTGGTTGATAATATAAAAATTAGTTTCTCCAACTTCATCATCACAACTAAACCCTATTTGTATTTTGAATGGCATAGTTTCTTAACCCTATAATCACACTGATTTCTTACTTCAAACCCTCAACCAATTAATTGAATACCTCCAAAACTTTTATTGTGATTGTCAACTATTTCAGATATCTGGTCAAATATCTGCAAACAAATTTCATCTCAATTGGTTTCACACATTGCTTCAAACAATCACACACATATACTAATGAAGGAAGTGTTACACTCACACCTTTTAAGGCACAAAATTATGAAAAACATTTGAATAAGGTATGCAAAAATGTATGTGTATGTGCATGCATATATATATATATATATATATATATAATATATAAATATACCTCTTGAGGCGTCTATGCTCCTTATCTGCAGGGTTTCTTCCCCTGCGGCGCTTTCCAGCAAAGCCCGTTTGAAATTGAGGATCTGTGACATTATTATGTTGGTTGAGGTTACTATTTGGAAGAGTCACTGCAGAATGAACACTAGTTGGTGTGGCTTCCACATCTGGAACTGTGAACATATCCTCATCACTGTCTTCTGGATTCGTTAAAACCCCACTTGTTAGTTCACCATGTTTCATGTGCATAAAACTTTGCTACACAAAATCTCTTACAATCAGAATAAACGAGACTAAAAAAATAAAATCTCTTTATTATACATCATTTTAAAAAAATAAATATTAAAAACTAACCCTCTTATCAGAAATGAAAGAGGAAAAGAGATGTGGTGTATAACTATATATATGATGCATTTGAGGAAGGATAAAATTTAGGTTTTGTTTTTAAAATTTTTTATAGTTATTTTCTAATTAAAATTAAAATTTTATTTTTATAATTAAGTAGAACTTGATTATGCATATTATCAAAGGGAAACTAAGTTTTAATCGAAAAACAACTTTAGAGGTATGTAAAGAATTACCCTTAAAATTATATTTTTGTTTTGGAGGATCTGATCAGTGTTATGTTGTGTTGTATAACACAAGGCTTTGTTTGGAAATCGCTTTACAACATTGGAAAGGAAAAAACACATTTCAAAACATTGAACTATGAAACAACTTTTTCTATGTTTTCCATTGGACGTGACTTTGTAAGTTTCTAACCAAGAATGTGGCACCTACCAATTTTGCTACTCTTGTTCTGTAGAGTTAAAGGAGGGAAAGTGTGTAGCCTGTTCCATGAAGAAGAGGATGAGGCTGCTGCTGCTACTCCTTCTTTCAGCTGAGAGGGGGCTTTATCCTCACTTGGTCTTGGAAGAGACATTTTTTTTTTCTTTCTATCTTGCTCGAAGGGTTGGTGCTGTTTATTCCTCACCAAAATCAAAGGGATTTTTGAGGAAAGGAAAAAGTGTGTATGTGTAGTACTAGTACGTGTGCAAGATGGGGCCATGTCTTTTAGTCCTTGGAGTTGGATGGAACCATCTCATCCCAAACTATTGACGATGAAACATTTGAATGGGGCCAAAAAGTTTGGTTCACAAATGAACACGTTGATGTGCACACAACCGCCCCTTTGCCAACACCATTCTCATGGCAGCTGCATAAATGACAAATTCAAATTATGTGGTCCATTATTTCCACTTGTGTGTATGCTGATGACAGTAGTCTTGAAAAAAAAAGGTGCAAAAATAGTAAATATCTTTTCTAATTTAATTTTGTTTGAGACAGTTAAGATCGAGAAATGTTACACGTATAATAAAAATTATACAATAATTCGTAGAATCTTTATCATTAATAATATATCTTTCCATAATTAATAAAACGATGGATAGAGATAGATATAAAAATGATTATGTATAAGTTATTGTACAATATTTTTGTTGTATGTGTAGTATTACTTCATAAGTTTAATATGGAAAATTAATAAAGTTATCTTCATGTGTTTAACACACTACTTTTTATGTGTTGGACAAGGCATTCAAGGAACTTACAAGCTCCTTTAACCAACTTAAAAGTTTTTTTTTTTTTTTTTTATTTATTAAAATAAGCTTGATTAATACTTATTTTAGGAGTTTAAAGCTTTATTTCCATAAGCTATTTGAAAAAGCTTATAACTTAAAAGCTCTTATATTTTTCTCTCTCTCTTTTTTTTTTGTTTTCATTGTTAATTTACTTAAATTTTTTTTTTTATCCTTTTTAGATACCAGTTTTTTTACGAGTTAATGATTAAACTAGAATACACTTTGCCGTGTTTGGATTGACGTTTACGGAATTCAACGTGTGTACAAAAACATAAAAATAAGAAGTTATCATAACTTGTTTTCGCGTCAAATTGGTAAGACGTGGATTATTGACGCAAATTCAAACACGCGGTTACGCTCGTTGTGATGTCATTTTCAAATGTCCTGGTGCATTTGATGCGGCATGTTATTCCAAGGGAACGCATAGCATGTGGCTTGTACTAATTAACTCATGCATGCAATATGATTGCTTAGAGAAAATTTGATACAAATCATACAACATGGACCGATACCAAATTAGATAGAATACCGATACCAAATGTTCTTATTAGATGCGTACATTCATCGTTAATTTAAATAGTTTAATGATTATGTATTTAAAGTACAAATTAACCGATTACATGGTATTACTTTTGAATTATTTATTATAAAAGTTAATGAGTTTATTATTTTTTTTATGAGTAAAATGGTACATAGAGAATCACACTTCATGAGAGTCAACGACATGTTAGAAATTTTCAAATCAAGCATCATTTTTCTGGTCATTTAATGTTTAGCTAAAACTCAATAGTACTTATTTTGACTTAAGATTTTACTTGTCAAATTAAGAGTTAGCAGAAGTCTACCAGAAAAATTTCACTTTCAGTATCAATGGATCTCTTTAAATAGGTATGTCCACAAAAGTATAAATTTTAATGGTCACAGGTTCATTGTTATAATGGATTCTAGGTCTAAAAAAAAAAAGAAGAAAATAAATGGTTAAAATATTAAATTTAACAAACTTAAAATAAAACTATATTGAGTTTTAATGTTATTTTATATTTTTTAAAATAAAATGATGACACTTGTAATCATCGTTAGTAGGTATTATATAATAAATTTGTATCCCTTTAATCCTTATTGACACCAATAAAAAATATTAATATTAGTTTTATTTTTGACTTTTTGACTGATGTAAATTGAAAGAAATGCAAAAAATAAAAAATTAAGAAAAAAATTTATCAAAGTAAATAGTTTGTGCCATCATGACATTGTGAACACAAAGCGGAGGGACACATGAATGGAACATGTAACACCTCGTTTTTTAAAATATTATTATTATTATTATTATTATTATTATTATATAATATTTGATTAATATTATTTTATTATGATAAGAAAATATTATTTTGTAAGTTTTAAATAATTATTATGTACATATTAAATAAGTATTTTTATTAGCATTTTAAATAATTATTTATATGTTTTAAGGGATAATTTGGAAGTTGATAAACTATATATTTAATTTTATTTTAAAATTTAAAATGTTGATTTTATAGAATATTTTAATAATGAAATTATATTATTATATTTTGGTTCAGAAATATATTATAATTATTATTGTTATAAAGGAAAAATGTTTTATATTGTATATGTATTTATTTATTTAATTATTTTGGAGAAAAGAGAAGCTGTGACACCCTCTACCCCAACATACATATACAGTAATTATAAAAATAAGATTCTTTATCATTAAAAACCAAATCTTCAACCACATAAGGGTAAAGAGTTCACATTCATAAACTTAATCCAAATAACATGTCAGTGAAATTACAAAGAAATAAAACTGAGTTTTCAAATAGTTTAATGGAAAATGGCATCCTAAACTAAGCCTAACTATGCCCCGATGTCACATATCCTGTAATGACCTGTCGTGGCCGTCACACTATGAAACATTACACATTACTGGAATATATATACTAAAATAGTATAATAAAATATTTACAATACAAGTTGCTAATCAAGCAACTAACAACAACTAGTTATATACAACAAAATATGCTACTATAAGGTAGCCTACAAAAAAATATCCATCTTCAGGCACCTCCTATGGCCTCTAGCAGCTATCTCCCAGCCTATCACTGCCCTGCTCCCATACAACGTATGATCATCGCAGTCCAAACTACATGGAAACATGCAAGGGTAAGCTAGAGACAATAAACAACTCATAATAATTTAATATGCAACACAACAACTATATAATCATCTTCGTATCCGACACATAAGACAAACAACATATATACTATACATCTTAATATCATTTCTTGATTCCACATATCAACACTTCAACGCAACTACTGTACAAACCATTGGAATAGTTACCATATTTGTCATAACAACAACCAACACATGTATTACACACCTCTCAACAAAACATGTTTAAAAGCAACTTACAACATAGCTAATCTAGCGATGCTAGCATCATCATCACTTGTATAGAAATAAGCAACTTACAACATAACAACACTATCATCATCCTCAACAGGGTCAACACAACAATATATGTACAACTCATATGAACAACAAATCAACTCATCAACAACTTATGCGTCTTCACGCATTTCAACTCGGAGATTTCCTACAACGTGGTGAGTAGTCTAAGTGGCTAGGTTCTACCCAACCGACAACACATAACCTTTTTGGGCTTGCTAGGTAAACAACAAATTTGGATAGAAATCCACAACACGATAACGATTTCTCAAACTTTGCCACTTAAACAAGGAAGTATAATACTATGTTAGGATAGAACAACTGGGTTTAGGCCTACCACGGCATTAGCTAGCTCAACTAAGCCACCTATGGGATTAGCTTACCGACTATCCTCCAAATACTACAACCATCCGATACTCGGTTAGGAACTAAGTTCCCGACTTCGTACTTTACTCAAATTGGCCGCTTGTAATCGGTATAGCTCGACCTGGCCCTTATACCGTGGTCGCTTTGTACACGTGTGCCTCGACCTTGCCCACACAGGGGATCAACTAAGTCCTAGAGGAGAACAACACAACGTCCACTCCAAGAGACAACTTCCCAAGGAGGGTTTTTCAACAAATTGGGCTCTCAAAGCACCACAACTATCTCAATCCACACAATGGGATGAACAACTTCGAAAACATCTCCCCTAGTCCTAGTGACCAACAACTCATTATCACAGCTTAATCAGCTTACAACTCAACAGCACAGCTCAGCTCAACAACTTAAACAACATACAACTTTTCAACTCATCATCTCAATCAACTTTCAACTTAAACAACATGGTTATCATCTCATCAGCTCAATGATCGACTCATTTCAACTTTAAACAACACAGTCAACTCAACAACTTATTAGCGCATCTCATAATTTACAACTTAATCATCATAAAGTAATATCTTTTTAACATATGGCACAACATACAACTTTTTAGCAACATACAACTCTCCTCTAACAACTTAACAACACAATCTACTAATAACATCTATATAAATCTCAACACATCTACACACTTCACATCATGTTTCTCACAGCTCACAATATTATCATCATGCACTTCACAACTTTCAACTATATCATCTCATCATATTTCACAACATATAAATGTCCACACATAACATATATTTAACAACATATCACATATTCAACACATTTCTATTTCGCACAACTACTCATTTAGTTTACAACACTATACTCAACATACATCTCTTCATTTCACTTTCTACTCATCATACATCTCAATGTAATTATACAACTCCATACAACTCAAAAATAACCTCAAATTCAAAATGAAATCAACCATGCATCAAAATCATCAAAAACCCCATTTTTCCCAAAACCCCAAAAAAAGAGAAAGTCCTCAAATCAATAAATGATTCTCAACATTCTTACTCCATATGAGTTCCTAAACTCACATATAACCAAACAACATACAATATAACTTCCCTTACCTGAAGATTGGCTCTAAAAGCCAAGAATATGAGAACAAGAAAAAGAAGAAGGAAAAGAAGAAGAAATATCCTCCAAGGCTTGACTCTTGAACTTCAATCCTCCAAAACAAGCTTTCTAGTCCAAAGTCCTTCTCTCTAGAACTTCTCTCTAAAACCTCTTTTTCTCCTTAATTGCACAAAAGTCCTATATATAGAAGTCTGAAGTTGCCAGAATGTCCCGTTTCGAATCCAAAACGGCCCGTTCTGGGCTCCTTCATCATGTGTAAAATTCACATGCAGAAAGGTCTGTTCTAAAACTAGAATGGCCCGTTCTGGAGTTGAATTTAACTCACAATGACCATTTTGGAACGAATTTTTCCAGTCTAAGATTCATAGGCCTATTTAGTAGTTTGGAACCTCCCGTTCCAGTTTGGGAATGGCCTGTTCTGGGCTACTAAATTACCCACACCAGGCTTTGGGCCTTCTGAAACTTGCTACACTACATATCCTATCAGAGCATG